TATTATTTTTATTTTTTATCTTTATTTTAAAATAAAATAAAAAATCAAAAGAAAATTAAAAGTATGGAATAAAAAAGTAAAAGCAAAAGTAGGTGAAAATTGAATTTTAAAAAAAGTAAAAGAAAGTTAAAAATTTTAAAAATAAAAGTAAAAGAATGTGAAAATTTAAAAAATAAAAAGTAAAAGAAATTTGAAATTAAAAAATAAAAGTAAATGTACCTGAAAATTTTAAAAAAAGAAGTAAAAGAAAGTGAAAATTAAAAAAAAAAAGTAAAAAAAGTGGGAATTTAAATATAATAAAAGTAAAAAAGTGAGAAATTAAAAAATAAAAGTAGTGGGAAATTTATTTTATTTTTAAAAAAGAAGAAAAATGGGAAGTGAGAATTTTTTTAAAATTTAAAAATAATAAAATAAAATAAAAAAATCTGAAAAAATCCAATATTTTTCTATAAATTGAAGAGAAATGTGAGTAGAAAAGAGGAGAGAAAGAGAAAAAAAAAAGAGAGAGGGGGGAATTGAGAGAAATTGGTTTTCTTCTTCTACGCTAAGAGAATTTCTACTCGTGTCATTCTTTCTTTGTCTTTCTTTCGAAGAATCCTGCAATTCATCACCCAAAACCCAACAACAATACTTCAAAACATCCCTTTTTACACACCAAACAGTGGAGTCAATAGTCGAGGCCGAGGATTCCGTTGGAGCTCCGTTCACTAGCTTTGATGTTCTTCTTCGCTTATGATTGTTCGGCGTTCGTCTGAGTTATTGTACATGTTCTTGGAAACTCATTTAATTGGAAATTTTGCATTAAAGGTTTATTCTTTCTTATGTTCTTTTTATCTTATTTTATGTGATTTTATTTATTTGCCTTTACTCTTTATAAATAATAATGTAAATTAGTCTTTAAATTCTACATGCTTAATCATGTTTCTGAAAATATGGTATTCAAACTTGTTTTAAAGTTGGGAAGATTGGGCTTCAATTATTGAGCTGTAGGGTATTGGTATATAATGATTTATTTATTCAAATATCTAAAATCATACACTTCTTCCACAAGTAATTCCATAATTCATGACCTTACAATAATCTCAAAGTTTAGGAAGAATAATGAACACCTATATAGTGATTTAGGCGTGCTTTTAATTAGTTTATCGCGATTATGTATACGTTCGCGTGGCATAACTGTGATTTTCAAAATTAAAACCGAAGTATGTGTTCGCACAACTATGGCCAAAACAATCTTATTATAATAAAATGCTATTAATTATGTACACGTACGCGTGATATGATTTTGGCATAATAAAAAAATGAATTCACACACATGATTCGTTTAAAAGATAATTTCATATTTTAATAATTAAAAACGGATAGATAAAATATGGAAATCAATAAATCACAGTTTATCCAAAATTAATTCAAACCAAGTTGTAGTCAATAAAGCCACCGTGCTAGAACCACGAGACTCGAAAAATGCCTTACACCTTCTCCCCGGTCAACAGAATTTTTTACCCGGACTTTATTTTCGCAGACCAATAATTAAAGAGTCAAATCTTCCTTTGAATAGAGATTCAAATAAAAGGTGACTTGAAACACNGGGCGTAAAAAGGAGTGTGACAGTCAATATGTCCCGGGTTTTAGTTTTTTAATTTAATATTTTTCAGGACACAAAGTCCATTTTTTATTTTAAATTTTCAGAACAAAATAAGCACTAACTAATCCATAAATAATAGCCTTGAAATGGTTATTTATGTACTTCCCCCCCTTTTTATAAGTGATCTGACCTAGAGGCTAGCCCAACCGAACCCCATGACTTCGATGGCCGAGTGACATGGGTTGGGCAAAAAGCCCCAATTTTAGATGGGCCATAAAAATGGTGTTATTTGTGGAAGAAATTCAAAAATAACCAGATTTACAAGTGGTAATTGAAAAATAGCCACAGTTTCAAAAGTAATCGAAATTTAGCCACTTTTCATGCAAAGATAAATCCGAAAAATATTCCAGTATAATATACTGGAGTTCCAGTATAATATACCGGTCCAACATAATATGCTGGAAGTTCATACACAGGTGCTCCAATCTCTAGTATATTTAAGACAAGAGTGGGTTGCTCTAGTGGTAGGCACCCTCCACTTCCAACCAAGAGGTTGTGAGTTCGAGTCACCCCAAGAGCAAGGTGGGGAGTTCTTGGAGGGAGGGAGTCGAGGGTCTATCGCAAACAGCCTCTCTACCTCAGGGTGGGGGTAAGGTCTGCGTACACACTACCCTCCCCAGACCCCACTAGTGGGATTATACTCGGTTGTTATTGTTGTTGTTGTTGTTGTTGTTGTTGTTGTTGTTGTTGTTGTGGCTTCTGGTCAGGGGTGGAGCCACAGTGTTGATCGCGGGCTCGATCGAACTCAGTAGCTTTAGTTCAAACCTTGTATTTGTATTAAAAATTCAATGAATATATACAAATTATTAATTTAGAACACAATAACTTGAAAGGATGTGGCACCCTAGGCGAATCCCACATCGACAAAATACGGGAAAAATATTGGCTATATAAGTAGACATGCCTTATACTCTAGTGGCGCGTTTTAAAGTCGTGCGGGCCTAGGCCCGAAGCGGACAATAACACTAGTGGGTTGGAGTGTATTTAACATCCTAGGCGAATCCCACATCGATAAAACATGGGAGAGATGGTGGGTATATAAGTAGACAGGTTTCAAACTCTTTTTAAAGCCGCGCGGGCCTAAGCTCAAAGCAGACAATATTACACTAGGGGATTTTTACCTAGCTATGCTATATTAAAAACTTATTAACTACTTTTCTTTATGTTCCTTAAAAATTACATTGTATATATATATTTACTATTTATACACAAAATCATGATAAAAGAAGAATCCCTTAAATATAGGGATTAATTTGTAACTTCATCCCCCTATCCCCATCTATCAGCTTAATTAGCATCCTACAATCACGATTTTCTTCCCAATTTCAAAAGATTTTAAAGTCATTTTCTCTTTCATACAAATCAACCAATCTNTAGGAATTAATTTGTAACGTATCTCCCATCCCCATCTATCAGCTTTAGCCTCCTACAATCACGATTTTCTTCCCAATTTCAAAAAAATTTAAAGTCATTCTCTCTTTCATACAAATCCACCAATCTCTCTCTCTCTCTCTCTCTCTCTCTCATACAAATCAAACTATTATCTCTCTAAAATTATAGCATCATATATTTCTCTGAATCAATTCCACCAACAACCATTAAAAAGCTTTGAAGCTTTGAATTAGATATCCAGATTTTACGAATTTGTGATATTTTTAGATTGGGTATTCTTGAAAACGATTGAAAATATCTTTTAGGGTTTATATCTCAATTTTAAGGGAGATTGGTTAAGTTTAAAGTTGATTTTAGGTAGAATTACAGATTGAAACTCGAGGAAGAAGAAATTTCGGAATTGTATTACGATTGTATGATAAATGTATCATCATTGTATCTGAATTGTATTTGATACATCAATACCTAAGATAATTTTGATACAATACTAATACTATTTTAATACAATATTGTATCATAATTTAAGTTTAGAGTTGATTTTAGGTAGATGTTTTAGATTGAAACTTGAAAAAAGATAAGATCAAAATTGTATCATAATTAAGAATTGTATCACAATTGTATCATAATTGTATCACAATTTGTACCTAAAATAATACATGATACAATATTAATACATGTATAATATGATTTTGTATCAGTTTAAGTTTAGAGTTGGTTTTAAGTTGTATCGTAATTGTATCAGAATTGTATAAGAATTCTTTCATGATTGTATCAAATTTGTATCTGAATTGTATTTAATGCATCAATACATGAAAGAATACTTGATACAACACTGATACAAGTACAATACAATCTTGTGCCAGAATTATATTAGCTTTTAGAGTAGTAACGTGTATAGGTAGAAATTTTTCAGATTTTCTATAATTACTGTGATGGATCTTCAAAATTGTGTAGGATCCCATTTTGAGAAAATGTTACCGTTCAAAAATAACCATTTCTTTGGTTCCGTTTCTATGGCGAGTATGGCTTCTTTTTTGGTTCAAGACTTTTTTTGTCCATTTGTATTTTTCTTGTGACTTCTTATACTAGAAGCGAGTATCTTGTATAGAGTTTTCGAGAAGTTGGAAGAAAAAATTTGGTGAAATAATATTGGAAGAAAAAGTTACTTCCAGATCTGCGTAGAAGAAAAGGGAGGGAGGGAGGGGAGTAGAGAAAAAAAGAAAGGATATAATTCAATCCCTTAATTGAAGGTGCTAATAATGGGATGAGAGTCTTTTAAGGGGAATACATATAATTTGTAAAAAAAACTAAATACTTTTTGAAAACTACAAAACCTTGAGAAAATTGATAAATAAGTTTCTATTATAGTATACATAGGAAAAACTCCCATATTACTAGTGGATTGGTCTGTTACAAATGATTATAATCCTGAATCCATAAGGTTTAAATCCTAACTCTGCCTTTGCTTCTAGTATTTCAACTTCACATAAGCTATATGGAGTTTAATACTAAAGCTGAATGATGTATTAGTTATACATAAATTATCTTCATAATGCAAAGTTTTACACTTAAAAACTGAATATTGTATAATACCGAATTATTGACCGCGATATTGTATAAGGAAAGAGCTATGTCACTCTTATCAGCTAGAAACATATCCAGGTTCCATCACAAACGTCAGAAAATATTCCGAACTTTTTTTTTGTTTATTTATACAATTACTAGTAGATAACAGTTAGATACAAAATGGCCGGCTGCTGATGTTGCCTTTCATATAAAATTTTCCACTTCCAACACAGTCACAATATGTTAATTACAATATTGAAAAAGCAAACGAAAAGAATAAAAAATTAGTGGTCATTCCTTTCATATACTTCATTGCTTGGCCTGCCATTAAATCTCATTGGACAAATTTTCAATGCTTGAGCAGAATGCTTACCATCTAAATTTTAATTTGCATGTCATGAATTTCCAATGGCTTCTAGTAGTTTGGTTTTGCTTTGGCTCAAGCTATGGCCAACAGTTCTATGATTCCACCTCATGTTTTTCTAATATCACTTCTCCAGGTACAAGATATACATGTACTTCTCCAAAGGATTCTTGTCAAACGTTCTTGATTTTTAGAGCTAATCAAGATTTCACAACAATCTCAGATGTTTCTTACTTATTTGGGTTTTCTCCTGATGTACTACTCACCTTAAACAATGTCACTTCGTCGTCGCAGATTCTTGAAATTGGTAGAGAGGTAATTGTTCCAATTCAATGTTCTTGTTTAGGTAAATTCTTTCAAGCTAATATTAGCTACCATGCACCTACAAACACGAAATTCGACGACGTTGCTTGTGGAGTTTTTGAAGGTCTAGTTAAATCCATAACAATTTTGGAGGAAAATATTTCCAAGAAAACCAATATTTCTGATGTCAATTATGATATCAAAGCTGGTACAGAGTTGCTTGTGCCTTTGAAATGTGCATGTCCTGATAAAGTTTTTGATGTTGGATTAAAGTACCTTGTCACATACCCTTTTATTTCAGGAGATGATACAGGAAAAGTAAGTGAAAAATTCAATATTTCTGTTGAAGATATATGGGGTGCTAACCATTTAAGTTTTAATCCAACTGTTTATTCAAACACAACAATTTTAGTTCCCTTAAGAGGAGAACCATCTATCAATTTCAGCATACATGATTCTGATCCTCCTACTCCTGATTTTCTACCAACACAAATGGTAGCAAAATCATCCAAATACCTGAAATTAAAGAAACTATATATTGCAGTGTCTGTTGTTGGTTTTTTCCTGTTTGCTGCAACTTTAGTTGCTTGTGGTTTATATATAATGGCCATAAGGAAATTCAAGGCAGAGAAAAATCGTTCTTCGATACATAAAAGCTCTGTTACTTCAGGTTCAACACCAAGAAATTCCCCTCCGACCACTACTAGAAGTTCCACGAATTCATGCTTATCACCTGATTTACTTGCAGGAATTAAGTACTCTTTGGGTGAGTACAACATAGATGAACTGAAAAAAGCGACGGATAATTTTAGTGAAGGAACTAAGATAAGTGACAATGTATACAAGGGTTGTGTTGATAATGCTGAAGTATTGATCAAGAAAATAAGATTTGAGGACACAAAACAAGTAATTGATGTACACTCAAGAATCAATCATGTTAATATTGTTAAGCTTCGAGGTGTTTGTTATGGTGAGGATGACATTTCAGGATCTTATCTTGTGTTTGAATATCCATCAAATGGCACATTAAGGGATTGTTTGTCAAACTCTTTAGCTTCTCTTAGTTGGCACAAAAGAACTCAAATTGCTTTTGACATTGCCACAGGGCTACATTACTTGCACTTTTGCACTATTCCACCTTATACACATATGAACATAAATAGCAAAAATATCTTCTTGACTCCGAATTGGAGGGCAAAGTTGGCTGTTTTTGGAGCAAAAGCTGTCATTGGAACGACGAAGGAAATTGGAAGTCTCGGCGGCTGGATTGCCCCCGAACATCTAGTACATGGCTCAGTGTCTGAGAAAGTGGACATTTTTGCGTTTGGGGTAGTATTACTCGAGCTCATATCGGGAAAAGAAGATGTAGATGGAAATTTTTTGAGGGATTCAATTACATTTTTGAGAGGGGGAGCTAATGAAGGAGGATGCTTTGAACAATTGAAAATTTTCATTGATTCAAGCCTTAGGGAAGATTACCCTTTAGCAGAAGCATTATGTTTAGCTGTTTTAGCTAAAGCTTGTATTGAAGATGATCCTTTTCATAGGCCATCTATGGATGACATAATTAAAGTTCTTGCTAGAATGGTATGATTTTTTTTAGCCGAGGGTCGTTAACCTCTGTACCTCCACAAGGTAGGAGCTAGTAGTGTACACGCTATCCTCCCAGACTCCACATGTGAGAATATACTGGGTACGTTGTTGTAATTGACAGAATGGTATGATTTCAGAAAAATATTCCATTCATTACCATATGCAATGTTAGTTAACATCAATTAATTGTACTTGCCCTAGTCAAATATTAATGTCTCTTTGTAGCTACAGTTTTCACTAGATCTATGAATTCTTGCTTTCAATTTGCATTCGTTTTGATTAATCCTACTTCCTTTCCATCACTAAGGTCCAGTACTGATTATATATTCATTGATTCGATGTTTAGAGTATTTGTTGAATTATTCTTGACAAACCTTTTCACCTTCTGGTTAAGGTCTAAATGTCTAAATTAAATAATCTTAATATTGTAGCCAAGAAAATAAAATAAATAGTCCGCTATGCATATAACTGGTTAAACTATAAAATATCATAAAAATTCTTACCTCGTAAGTGTATATAAGTTCAATCATCTGACGTTTGCAATAGTGCAAATTATGCTTTGTATGCAAGCTTCAATAAAGGCAAAGGAATTTTCTAATCCAGTTTTGGAATAACAAATGGACTATCTGTTGGACATATGCATGACTCATAGTCATAGAATCTTGATTGTGCTTTGCCGATTGTTTGACCTAATCTTGTCTAATAATTAAATGTTTGTCGCCTTACTCTAATTAATGAACTTTCGGGGCAACTGCACATATAGCCATTCACTAATGTTATTTAGAGATTAGCTAATACTTATTTTGTTTTGAAATTTTAAACTAAAAATCTTAATTTCAGGACAGTTCATGATGCTTGTATTCCGAAAAATTGAACTGAAAAACTAAAATTCAAGATGCACTGTCTAAATATTAAATAACAATCCTATAAAATGGCTAGTGTCATTTCCACCCTAAATTTGTTGCTTTTGTGGGGTTGCTAGAATAAGAAATAAAGACAAATATGTCAAAAAGACTGAAAATGAGAGGCATAATAGTACAAAGAACAAGTGCCACTAATTTATTTTGCGACAATCTAATAAATAATAAATACAACAAAGAAATACACTATATTGTGGAAAGAATTCCGACCATGTTATGAACATACATGGATGATAATAGCCATTTACGGGATAAGGACATTCCTAGCTCATATACTGAACTCAATTTTATTGTATATAAACAAAATCATTGCGACAATAACTATAAATATGGTAAATTACTTCTAAGATTGTAGAATCATTTTCATTATTGTTTAGGATCATTTGGTCGATAGAGTCGGATAGGTCGTTTGTTTGCTGCTTGGACTGGTCTTGAATTGGTTTCAGATTCCTGCAAAAGAAAAAATATATGATCAAATGGAGAATTAGCACCCATGGTACAATTAAATCAGAGACGGAATCAGTATTTCAATCTTATGGGTCCTGAATTTTAGAACGATGATTTCAAGTGTTAGAGACTGAGTTCTAAATTTAATATTTATACATATTTAGTGAATTCTAAATACTAAATACACTGTATGAACAAATACTAGTGGGTTCGACCGAACCCGTATTTCGGCTTATGCCTCCGCCCCTGACTACATGAAGAATGATTGAAAACAACAATGTACTAAATACTAGTAGTCGTTTTGACAAGATTGAAATATTTGACATTTTAGAAAATAAGAAGCGTTCGCCTATTTTGTCAAATTTACACTTACCACTCCAATTAGTGGAATATTAATTAAGTGTGACGTGTAAAAGAGAATAAAGGGTGATTTAATAGAATATTTTTATGATTTAATTAAGATAATCATATCTTTCTTAAGAGGTTTGCCAAAATCTTAAAATGATAGTACCAAATAATATGGACCGAGGGTCATATATTAATGTAGTTTTGGAGGTGAAATATAGCAACTTACGTCATGAACAGCCTCGCGAATTAGTTTCATTTGCTCTCTTGTAACAGTCCTCACCTGAGAAAATATTGAATATTAAACTTCAAATTGATACTAGTGGCAAAAAGAATAATCACAGCATAGATAGAACGCTAGAGTTTTTTAATTACCTTTCTTACAATAGTCCAGACAACATCTTGAGTACAAGGAGGAACAGTCAACGAGCCAATATACCTGTAATATTTTCTGCTACCCAACTTCACTTGTTTTGGATCAATAATTCCAATATTTCTCTCCACACCTTTTGTATGTGCTAGAGCCTTTAAATCATCCTCGATCTGTAATCAGAGATATATCATATGTTTTATTTTTTAATTACTAATACCATTTTTATGAACATATATGGCAGTCCGATGCACTAAGCTCTCGCTATGCGCGGGGTTCGGGAAAGGGCCGGACCACAATTGTTTATTGTACAGAGTCTTACCCTACATTTCTGCAATAAGCTGTTTTCACAGCTCGAACCCGTGACCTTCTAGTCATATAGCAACAACTTTACCAGTTGCGCCAAGCCTCCCCTTCTAATTTTTATGAACATTATTGATAATTATATTTTTCGTGACCTAATAATATAAAAATTGTTTTACGCCATAGAAGTTAAAACTTTTTTTGGAATTAAGTTTTGTTTAGTGCGTGCATGTAATTAATACCTTAGATAAGAAGGAATCAGCTCTTCCAATCTTGTACATAATTCCAACCACTGCAGTCTTTCCATCATTGCTTTCATGAACCAAATGAACCTCCAAATCGAACCTACAATTATTCATACACGATTTAGTCACTTTCTAAATATGAAAATTCAAGAATATAAACAAGAAAACAAAAGAGGAAAGTATATGTAATTAATTTATAAATAATAAGAACCTTTTTCCATTTATAGTATGTTCAGAAGGTGAGTGCCAATGAGCCTGATTGAGTTGATATCGAGTTCCATTTATCTCAATATGTCCAGCACCACCTTCCCATCTTAACTGCATTAATAAACAAATTATTCATCAAATTATCATATAATAACAAAAGTATAAAGCAGAGCTAAAATTAAGAAAAATAAATTACTCATCAATTATATTATTATACGTAAGTTACTATATTCACTCATAACGTCCCCTTTTTTATAAACCATAACGCCCCTTTTAAATTCAAGGAATTAAGTACTTTTATGGAAGTAACGTTTCAGTTGACAAACTCTTGTAAAATTGATGCGAGGAAAAAAGAATGATTAATATAATGCATCTCGAAATAGGTCCTTAATTAACTTCTTATGGTCGCAAATTCAAAAAGTAAGTTGATGATTTTTTTCCAGATGGTAGGTAAAATAGTGAGACAAAAGTGATTGTATATTTGATTAATTTCATGTGTAGTAGGTTAAGCAGTTGATAAAAGGGACCTAGTTCAGCATTAACCAGGAAATTAAAATTATGTTAACTTACACCATTTTCATATACCATTGACATTGAGCCCTTCACACTTGGGAATTTGCAAAATTGAATACTGTTTTAATGAATTTTTGAGTATTACAGATTGATGATAGATCTAAATATATTGGTTAGAGCAAGTAATACGAAATTAAAATTTTAGTTTTATAAGAAAAATAACTGAGGAAATTTTCATTTTCTCCCTTTCGATGATACATGTTTCCTTTAGAAAATACTTTCTTAACCAAACATCGAAATTCGTGATAATATGAAAAAACGTATTTTTTTTAGAAACATTGCGTCATACCAAATAATACAATACATGAACATGAGAAATATAACCACGAAAGAATTATTTTTTGAAAAATTTTCGGGGACCCGCAGTGTAATCTTTCGAGTGCGCACTGGGTAACCTACTCACTATGCAATAGCTCGCAAACCATATAGAAGATGCAACCGCACTAGGCAAGTCCGATGCAACGAGCTCTGACTGAGGAGCTTGTTGGTGAGGAAAATCGATCCCAGGGCTCCCCATGTGGGAAACCACCCACCCAACCAACACACCCAACATTTGCGAGCGAACCATGAAAGAATTAGATCTCCTCTAAATGTGATGAGAATAAATGGAGTGGAGTCTCTTTTTTCTTTCTTTCTTACCATCATATCATGTCCTCTATTCAAAAGAGTAGAATTGGATGGTTTGTAGCTTCTACGAAGTCTTCCCAAATGAGATACAACTTCAACCCTCTCATTCAAAAGATCAATTGGAGATTGCAATTTTCCTGAATTACACATACTCCATTCTGTGTGAATTTCACCCCAATGAGCAGGCCCCTTCTCACTTTCTTCATCGTAAGTAAACTCACTTTCATCATCTGTAATAATTCCCCCAAAAAATAAAATAATTAGCAGATCATAAGTTTCAAAAGTCGAAACACAAAAACCAAAGCCATATTCATGTTATAAAAATTGAGAGACAAAAACTGAAACCTACCAACTTCATGAGATCTTGTTAGCAATGCACTTGCGAGGAAAAGAAAAGAAAGGAACAAGATTTTGTTGGTTCTTGTAAGCATTTCCATTTTTTGATCCAACTATAGAAAAACTTGGTGTTTTATTAAGGAAACTTTACCAATAGAAGGTTGCTTATTTAAAATAATGAAGTATAGATTCTAAACTTGTGTTTTGTTATGGAAACTTTACCTATGGAAGGTTGTTTATATAGAAGAATAAATTAAAGTAGTATTAGAGGAAATAGAAATGTGAAATTGACCAAGAAAATCTATAGCTGGCTTTGACCACAAGAATAATGTGAAGAAGTTTCAAGCTATTTGAGTAGCTGAGCAGGTTTGAAGTATATGTTGTTTCTATCAGTTAAAACATAGGAAATTATTATAATAGCAAATAAAAGATCACCGACTATTTCCTTGATTTTTTGTCGTGCAAATTATATTCATCTTTTAATCGGAATCGTTTGTTGAAAAAGGACCCCTTTTGTATTTATTATGTCTAATTAAGATTTATTAATATCATGTGCTAATTCGTCGTCATCATGTTGTTGCACCACTTCCGGGTTCAAGCTTATGATCTTGGGATAGAAAATAAACAAAACAAAAAAAAGAAAAAGAAAAGAAGAGTTTATCTTTACACGTAGATAAGTAGATAGCTGGATATACGATTTTGTGAGTTCAAGTGAACTCATTGGACAAGTGAGGCTTACTCTGCTAGTTGAGTTTTACCATCAGTCGATTGATTTAGGGTTCGAATCACGTTAGGTAATTGATAACGCTATTAATCCAAACAGGCGGTGGAATAAGAAGAAAAAAAATTAACTTAGTGCTTATGACTCTAATTATGATTATTTAAGTTGTTTATATATAATAAGATAATGCTTATTTTGAATTCATAACTTTAAATTTTGAATTCGCCACGGCAATAAATATATAAGAGAACGAAAAACCTAAAACAAAGGGATGCAAAACGCGACTTGCTGAGTGCAAGGGCTTCACATGCCAATATTGAGCATTAACAAATACAATAAGGCCTCTAATAATATATGTTCTCTTATAATTAGTACCAAAAAACATCACATAATACCATAACGAAAATCAAACCTTAATATATTATCATGTGCATCAGACAGAAAAATAACGTTTTTTTGTTGCTAACCTTCTAGACACCTTTTGAGAAGCCTTAAAATTAGAGACTAGTTGCGTATGTAGTGACCTCTTAATTTTTTAATACTTTTTGTATAGTTAATTAGTTGATATTTGAAATTGTTCTTGACTTCTATAAGTAGGTATGCGGATCATTCCGATGACCCAATCAAGTATTTCTAGATCTTTAAAAAAATGTAAGATATTTGCAAAACAACATAAAAAATCTCTGTAAACTCATTTTTTCTATTCATATCATAAATCGACATAGGAAATCATTTCCTCATACATACTGCTCTTTTAGAGGCAGGCGTTGAATTTTTGAATCATAATTCATACATATGCCCTAAATATGTCTTACGGAAAAACTCACACGCATTTAATGCTGACACCAAATTAATAAGTGATACGTCACCCTCACTCCGTTCATTTTTACTTGTCCAATATACTAATCAAGAGAAAGACAATCTCTTTTTCCTGTTTTACTCTTATCATTAACTACTCAATCCCCAAATTATTTTTCAAAACTTTTAGAAATACTATTATTATTATGGGTAAATTATAAAATACATATTTCATTTATTGTTTCTTAAGGGACGTGAAAAGTCCAAAGTGGACAACTAAAAGTGGACCGAGGGAATACCTTTTTAAGCAAAATTTTTATCACCTAAACATGATTAATATTTAATAGACAGTATGTATTTTCACTTTATTTAGTGAAAACATATATGAGGAATACCTATTCACTGCTGACGTTTGCATCGGTGCCGGCTCTAGGAAGAAGCCACTAAAGCGCCCCCTAGAGGGACCCCAATTTTTTAAAATTATTAAATATTATAAAATTATTAATAAAAGATAATGAATTTTATACTTCTTTTTTTGAAATGTGATAGAGGTTATTCAAATAAATAAATCGAGTTTTATAATAAATATGCAATATATAATAAACAATTTGAAGACGACGTTGATAATTAAAGAATAAAGTCTCTTGTAATATCATTTAGAATTAATCAGTTCTTATAAAAAGTGGATTAAGCTATTATCACTTCGAAATACACTTGAACTATTTTAAATGTATGAAATTATACTGAGAACTTTTTAGTTGTACAAATTTGAGATTATTAGATTATGATAATTTATACAAATATTATCTTAACTGTCAATATGTGTTTCTTATAAATATATTATCAAAGCCTTAGTGAGTAGAGTTAAAATATTTGTAATGGTAAGAACTAACAGGTAAAAGAATGAATGATCAAGATATGTACAAGATGGTTGGTATACCATCATTACAAAAATAAAAATAAAAATAATATATTAATTTATTAAATAAATTTAAGGCCTCTTATTGACGTTTGACTTTAAGCCACCAATATCATTGAGCCGCCTCTGGTTTGCACCAAAGCAATTAATATATTTAACCTTAAAAGTAAAAAATTAAATAGGAAAGACATACTGTATTAATTAATCATCGTTAATATAAAAATTATTGATTTAAAAAAAGTCATACACTTTTTTCTTTGATCCGTTTGTTTTTCTCATCATAGGGTCATAGGCAGAAAATTGAAAGAAAGCTAATGCACCAAAGAACAAGTCGCCAATTTTTACTAGAGCACTTACGGGGGATTAAAAAATGTTTTTTACTACGGCACCACATAAAAATAATAATGGCGAAATGGACCAAGAGCAGTATATTGATGTGCGACGACAATTAGTGCAACTAAGGGAAATTATGGAAAATGATAATCACAATTAAATATTTAATGTTATTCGTTGGCGTGTTAATTGTGGAAGGATTATTCTCCCCGACTAATTGCTAACCCCCCCCCCCCCCCCCCCTCACACATACACTTCGCATCGCCGGATCCATGATTTTAATTTTATGTATTCCTATAACGATTTTAAGTTAATATACGATGATAATCAAACTAATGAATTGAGATCCAAACTAAATATTTTTTTATATTTAATGAATTTTCTAATACAAATACAGGATCTGGGCAAAAGTTATTGGGTTCACGTGAACCCGTAACCTTTACACTAGATTCGTCCCTGCACACCTCATTGGGCCATTTATGACTTAATAAGAGTTTCTCTGTTCGCAAGGTTCGAATGCAAGATTTCTGATTAAGATCGGAGAAGTTTCATCTATCCTACAACACCCCTAAATGAAACTTTTAATTTATATCTAATGGAGGGAAAAAAAAAGATTGATATAGAAAGGAAACTTCGTGTGGCTTCAAATATCGTGGCTTTCTGTCCAAGGAAAGGAGAAAGGAAGAAATTATCTTCAAGAATCGTATTACTTAATTAAGTAGGTTAAAAATTTTCTTGGAGGCTGCTTTGATTTTCAAGAATTTTATCTCCACCATTTGTTTACTAGTCCATTTAAATCATTTTTTTAAGATTATGATATCTAAGATGGAGAAATTTTCAAATGTTTGTTACACCTGTGTTATTTGATTAAGTAGAATATTATGTGTCAATTTACTTGATCTATTCTTTTCCCACATGTTTTTTTTTTCTGTCTTTTCAATCCCACTTACCTAATTCTGTTTTACTTTTCGATTGTGCAATGTGTGAAAACAACTTTTCCCCTCAACTTAATGTGAAAAATCAAACTTCCCTTTTTAAACAAAACAAAAAAACTTTGGATTATGGGCATTCTTATACTCTAGTGCAAATTATAACCGTTGATTGACAATTGAATCGACTCGTTCAATAAAGGCTAAATTGTGTTTTGCCATTTTAATTGACAACTTCACAAATTTCTTCATTCTCTAACATAACATGAAATCTATATCTATATATCAAAATACTATATTATAAGTGTGAATACCTTAAGTTAAAGTTAAAAGACTAAAATAACCATGTAAAGCTGAATGACCATTTTACCTTTCAACCAAACATTGCTTCGGAAACATTCTTGTACAAACATGTAAATCCACATTCTAATAAAAAAAACATAAAGAAAAAGTTTAATTAGTTTTTGAATTCCTCAAGTACATGAAATTAAAGTCGAACTTACCATTTACGCAATATTAACAAAAACAGTTTGGTTCTCTTCTGCTTCCCTAATTAATGTTTATTAATATGCATTAACTTCTTATAATTCAAGGCAAAAGACTTTGCCAACTATGTCTTATAATTCAGACAAAAGACTTCACCAACCATCTTTTTCTGTTCCGATATCCGGGAAGAACTCGATCATCCACCCCCACTTTGCCAATACTAGGACTAATCCTTGTGCTTCATTTCACAAGGTTTATTTTTGGGACTATATGTAAAATATTGTTGAATCATTGTGGATTATAATTTAAATATTTTGGAATATCGCTGATTTAATCAGGTAATTTTGGATATATTAAGTTTTTTAAGTGTGAATTTTGACCAAATTTTGCTTCATTGCAGGTACGTCAAATATAGAATACTTCGAAAAAAATATTTTCTGCAGAATAATATGAATCTATCAGTAAATTTTGGGTTATTGAATTAGGATATTTACCTTCAAATACTGCAATTCCAAAATACTGTATTATCCCATAACTTGACGTTTTTGTAAGCTCTTGATTATGATACATGTACATGTATTTACTAGCATTGTTTGGGAAAATTTGCCACTGTTAAAATATTTTTAATTTGTCGGTAAAATTTCCTTTAATTTTTTTTCCGCAACATTATGACGCACTTTGATAATGAATTTCATTTTTAAACTTCCACTTATTTGAATTCATCCATTAATCTTGATCGATACTAATTTTAGGATTACATATAACTCAATATATTTTTCCTACTAGTTCAAACTTCTACACGAAATACAAAATCATATTGGTAAATTACAATATGGATCAGAATATCCAAAGGACTTCACAGGTAGGGTAGGCTTTCTTCCCCTCTTGACTTAGCTAGGACGAATAATTTATTATTTCAGGAACTTATATTTAATTATTTTATAACTAATATTTAAGTTACTTCTAAAATTATATATCCATTGGTAAGGGGTACACGCGGAATGC